TCTAACTCGACTCATTTATGTAATTGAGTTGGCTTGAGCCAAACTCGAGTTTCTTAAATATTTGACAAGCTGGGTTTGAACTTGAGCTCGACTAGTTCTTAGTTGACAAACTTGAATACTCAAAAGTTCAATTTGGCTTGCCTCGGCTCGACTTATTGGCAATCTAAGATAGTTGTGTACATTATATCAATTTAATTTAATCTTTATTATATTAGCAAATTTTAAGGGGAATTTATTAGAAAATTATCTTTCAAGTACTTTATCCCAATTAGTCGATAAGATATTATTATATTGTAACAAGTTCTATTATTTTGGATATTTGATCCACCAAATCCTAATTCTCATATTTAAAGTATTTTATTGACAGTTTTACCATTGCAAATATTGTTTGAACCCTTAGTAACTTGGTGATGTGAACATTCACATTAAATAAATTTGACAATGTGAATGTTCACGTTGACAGTATAAATGTTCATATTGATACTGTAAATGTTCACATTATGAAACATTTACACTGTCAATTAATGTGTGCCTTACCCTAATATTATTAGAGATATTTTGATAACTATATTACTCATAAGACTTATTGGAACATAAAAAAAATAATTTAAACTAAGTGAAACATAAGTAAATGAAAACATGTTTATGAATGAATGTCCCAGATTTAACTATTATTTCTTTAGAAACTTTAGAGATCCAGATTTGTGACCAGAATAATAGTGTGCGGTAAAGATTGAAAACTGGCTATTGTGCAATTTATGTATAGATGAATGGTCACGAGTTGAGTTTGCGGCGGGTTTGTAATGAGAATTATAAGATATACGATAAAAAATAAAGGGTAAATTACAAACACTCCCCTCGAGGTTTGTGAAAATACAAATTCTCTCCTGAGATTTGAGAAATTACAAATTGCCCCCTGAGAGTCAAATTTTCATAACAAATTAGGAAAAATTAGGGGGGAATCTGTATGAAAATAAAAATCTCATGGGGCAATTTATTATGAAAATATAAATCTCAGGGGGCGGGATGTAATTTCTCAAACCTCATGGGAGAATTTGTATTTTCACCAAATCTCGAGGGAGTGTTTGTAATTTGCCCAAAAATAAATAAATAAAAACCAATATGAAGTATAATATATTAGTGTTTTAATTTTATTATAATAAAAAAATGAAATTATCTACATTATTATATTAAGTGAGGTCTAAATTTGGTCTCTGAAATTTTTGTTACATATAAATTGAATAATAATAAAAAAAAAGAATTCCCCTACACCTACACACATGTTCTTCATGACAGTTTAACTGTCATAGCAATTTCAAATTTTAAAAATCAAATTTGTAAATTTACTTTCAAATTTAAATAATAATATGTTACACACTAATATATATTGTATATATATAAATATATTTAATATATATATATCGGGATAAGTGGGTAGAATGGGATGGAATAAAATACAATCATTCTCCTTATCGGGAGGGAAAAATCCGGCAGGGCTGGCAAAAAAAATGACAATCTTAATCTAAATCTATATGCTTGTTTTCAATATATTTTAATAAAAATTTTAAATATAATATTATCATGTTTTTTTATTTTTATTTTTTAAAGATTACATGACCTGAGTAAAACGTATACTTAACCGTGCTCTGGGTTGAAGACAGAGTCAAATGAACAGCAGGAGACTGTTTTTGTTTTTTTTTTTTTAAACAGCAACAATGAGCGTGTTGTTCGTATTGTACAGGTACAAACCCTACCGACATTTAACCACTCTAGATTCGTACCGCAATGGTCATTGGATCTGGTCTTGTGACTGTTGGCAGAAATTATAATAGCTTATTTCAGCTTTCAGTTTAATTTAAGCTATTTTGATGTGTTTGGTTTAGCTTATAGCTTATAACTTATAGCTTTTTGGAAGTCAGAAATCAGCTTATTCTTTGAGTGGGGCAGGAGATGCTTTAAGAATAAGTCAGAAATTAGCTTATGTTCATAGTTATAAGCTATAAGCTGTTTAGGCATAAGCTATAAGCACTTTCCCACAGCTCTATTATCTTCCTTCCCTTCCTTTACTAATAAATTAGTAATAATATTTATTATTTGTATTAAGGGACTGTTTGACCTCCCCTAATGTAGTATATTTTTTTTTATCTTTTTATTTTTTTATTAAATTATATCATCTATTTATTTTTTATATCTTTTTATAAAAAAATTAAAAAATATATTTATTTAGATCATTCCAAATAACTCTTAAGTTTAAGTCATAATTATTTTTTGAAATTTAAGTTTATTTGATAAATTATTTTATGTTTTCATCTTTTTACCTTTTTTAACTCAATTTATTTATTTTTTAAATTAGATTTGAGATATTTTATAATTTAATGTTTTTAAATTACAAATAAATTTTGTCAAATAATTATATTGTAATTGTGCATGGGTAGTGTGACTTTGCCTCCGTTTGGGAAGTAGGTTGGCTTTTTGGCTTTTTGACTTTTTTGGCTATTTTAGCCTGAGCTTAAAAGCTTGGTTTGGGAAGGGCTTTTTGGCTTTTTAGCTTTTTTAAGTGTTTTTTGTGAGAGAAGAATGTAATGATTATGGGTTGGATGTGATGTTTTGTTTGTTATGGCTAAAATAGCCTATTTTGTTTTTTGTGGCTAAAATAGCCAAAAAAGCTTGTAAACCCACTTGCCAAACACAGGCTTTGTGTTAATTAAATGATATATTTAAAATTAGACACAAAATTTTTTATTGCATTTTTCAATCGTTTGCTTGTAATGAGAATGTAACCCACACCTACTACTGCATAGGGGGTGTTTGACAAATTAGATTTTAGCTTTTTTTTTTGGGTTAATATTTATAAAAAGATAAAATATGTTAAAATAATTAATAAGACAAAATATTAAATTAAATTCATAATTATTTTATTTTTTCTCTCATAAATATCACATCTAAATACAAAAAAATTAATTATTTTTCCAAATACAAAAAATTTAATCTACCAAAATAGTCAAAAAAACTAAAATAGCCTACTAAAATAGTAATTTTCTAGACACGCACATAGTAAGATACTATGACCATGTTTGTTTAGCGGAGTAGAGGTCAGATTGGATTAGTATGGGTGTAGGTCTCACTCACACCTTGTTTGGTGATGATTTGAGAGGGAGGATTAACAGTATGAGGGGCTTAGTAATTCCCCCCAGAAGGGAGATTAACTTGGTTGGATTTTGGATATGATTAGAAAAATAGTGAGTGGATTGAGTCTATTTTATATAAAAAATTAATTTTTTTAAATTTTATTTATTTTTTTATCAAGTGTACCTATTTGTTTTAATATTTGTGTTAGTTTTTTTTAATATAGAAATATTTTTTTATTTATTTTATATAAAAATAATTTAACAATCTCATCACTGACCATTTCTCACAATATTATCAAAATAAATACATTTTACTTAATCTTCTCACTAATAATTCCTACATTAATAATCTCTTCATTGACCATCTTTTCATTAACAATTTTATCTAACCTAATCTGTCAAATAAACGTGACCTGTATGTCATATTATTTTAAAAAATACAAATTAATCACAAAAAATAATTTGCCTACACATGATTATTTTATTTTGAATAAACAGTAGAAAAAAATGCAATAAAACATATATTAAGTGCAAAATGCAAATTAATCACAGCAAATAGGGTGACAAAAAATATATGAGTTATGGTAAGAATCTCAAATAAATTATCAATTTTTTTCATCAAACCTCTCACATGTCACATGGGTGTGGGATTCACAAACATGTGATTTGTGTGGATCTCATAACCATGTAAGAAGTTTGGTAAAAAAAATTAATAATTCATTTGGGTGACCAAAATGCAAAGTAACAGTAAAAAAAAATAAACAGTAAAACATACACTAAGGCCTTGTTTGGCAAGTAATTTTTTTAGTCAAAAAGTCACTTAAAAAAATCAAAAAATCAACAACCCACACCAAAAAGTTAAAGATTTTATTTTCTCTCTACTTTTTGCACATCTTTTCGTAAAAAGCCAAAAAGTCATCCAAAACATACTAATTTTTTTTACATCACATTTTAGTAAAAAAGTCCAAAAGTTACTGAAAAAACATGTTTCCAAACGAGGCCTAAGTGCAAAATGCAAATTAATCACAACAAATAGGGTGACCAAAAATGTATGAGTTATGCTAGGAATCCTAAATAAATTATTAAATTTATTTATTAAACCTCTCACATCTCACATGCGTGTGGGATTTACACACATGTGATTTGTGTGGATCCCACAACCATATAAGAGGTTTGGTAAAAAAATTAATAATTCATTTGGGGTCCATAACATTTTTCAAAACGTATCACTACAAATATTATTTCACTTTAAATTACACTCTTTTTTATGATTAAATAAATTTTAATAAATTGTTCAATGATATATTTTATGGCTGTGACTTCTTTTCAGTTTGAAATTAGATTGGAGCGTGCTGTAAAATTTCTATAAGTCCATCACAGAGTTCACATTGATGATTCAAATCACTCAATGTATAAAATTTGTCGAGTAATTCATTTTTATAAAAAATCACGTTGATTTAATTTTAATAACTATCTAATCAGATTAAATTTGAATAAATTGTAAATATGATTTAAAAAAAATTATTAACAAAATATAATACGATGAAATAACTATTAATATCCAATCAAAATAAATTTTTATAAAAATAAAATACATAACAAACTTTATACATCCAATAATTTAAATCATTTAAGCAAATGGTGAGACTTAACCTTCCAATTAAAACACAAAAGTCGCATACTTTATTAATTGATTAGGCTGTTAGACTTTTATAGGGAAAAATAAAGAAAATAATAATAATAATAATAATAATAATAATAATAGGCTTATGAATTCCCGCTTTAATGTCGTCCACATCTAATGCCCCTCTTGTTAGGGCCTTGTCCCCGTACGCATACAGTTCTCTCTCTCTCTCTCTCTCTCTCTCTCTGCGTCTGGCATCTGAGGATTATTCTATAGAATCTCTCTCTCTCTCTCTCTCTCTCTCTCTCTCTGTATAAATTTTCTCTCTCTAAAAGCTATTCATGATTTGAGTATATGAGTTGAACACCCCTTCCCTCTTCATTGACACCGTCTCTCTCTCTGACTTTTTGTTATTTGATCAATTTCTCTCTCTCTCTCTCTCTCTATATATATATATATATATCAACATGACTGCAGCCGTGGAGATCTACGGTCAGCAGCGAACCAACGACCAATCGATCCAAGAACAGGTATGTCGATTCATGTTTCCCTCTGTATTAATTCCTTGGCGATCCCCAAAAGTCTGGAGCCTATCTTGTTTGGTTCTTGAGAAAATTGAGGGGAAAAAAAAATTGGAAAATGGAAAATGAAAATGAAATCTTTGAATCTCGTGGTTCTTATGATTTACTAAAAATGGGTTTTTGAAAAAACATGGGCCGAATACTTGGGTTAGTTTCAGTTTAGTTGAGTTTATGAAGAAATGTTGGGATTTTTTTGTTTAATTGATTGTTGATTCATGTTGGTAGCAACCAAACTGAGCGTGAGGGGTTAGTGTATTTGATTGGATTTGTTAATTGGAATATGATGGTGATTTTCAGAAGGAAATGCAGAGTATAGGGGAGGGTAAACAAGTGGCTTGTGAGAATCATCATGGAATTTGTGCCATCTGTTTGAATAAGATAGTTCTTCAAGAAACTGCACTTGTAAAAGGTTGCGAGCACGCCTACTGGTTTGTCTGAATCACATGTCAATTTATTTACCTTTCATTCTCAATTGAATATATATATATATATGGCTTGATTGATTGATTGGTGATACTTTGTTTATGCAGCTATTTTTATGTGTTTTGCATGCTCAGATTACCGTATTGGTTGTCGTGAATTGTATATAATAAATAGAACACTTCTACTACAAAATGTAATTGAAAGGAAAGATTGTTGTTCTTTCTGTAGTGCTCTAATGATCATATTTGATCTGGATGGGTAAAGAACATGATTAATTGAGTGCGAGGAAGATATGTTTCTGACCCCTATTGGAGATTTATTTGAAATGTCAAATCCTGTTCGAGATAGTATATTATAATGATGATGAAAGCTGAAGTGGTTTGGTTGAAAACATATGGAGGTTTGGTACTGATTTAACAATCTAGCTATTGGTAATATTGAAGTAAAGAACTCGGTGGCAACTAATGCATTAATGGGTGACTTTTTTTAGCAAAACTTGGATATACAGTTACAATTCTACTCATTAGAGAGCAGTTGGGAAAGGAATTTTTGGGAAAAAGTTTATTAGAATCTTACCTATTATAAGACACTAATTTTACAGTCAATCTGACAAAATGAATTTTGTGGTTTATTTCACTTTCTTGTGATGGGTGCAACTGATGTGGGTATATAAAGTGGGAAAGAAGAAATATGCTAGCAAAATTGTAATGATTTTAATTTATTGCATTATCTTTTGGATATCACATGTGTTTCTCAAACTAGTGACATGTAACTGATCTATTTAATGTAGGACAAGATGATATTTGATTTTTCCTGCCTCCCTAATTGGCCATGGTTTTTTTAAACATGCCTTATGTCTTTTATTTTGGTATCTGATGGGTTTTATATTACTGTCACCTATATTTTACCTAACAATTGCTTTGATTTGAATATTCGCATCTCAACTTTGGTTAATCTCTATAGTCTTTTAGGTTTTGTATTTACACTCAAACACACGTATTGATATCTTGTTGTTTTTAGAGTGCCTTTTTCATTAATGAACATGAAAAGCAATCTAGTTTCTTGATTCAACTCTGGAAATTCACCTCTCTATTTCTTGCACTTGATTGCATGAATCCTTTACATATATATAGATATATGTATTTCCTATTTTGTTACGTTGCGATAATAGTTTTAGTTAAATCATGTGCCATATCTGGTTGCTGTCTGCCTTGATTCACATTGTTTTTGGCCACCTTCTTATTCTTGTAAGATCTTCAATTTGGAATGTTACTCAAACGTGTTTTCAAAATGAAACTATGCATCAACCTCTCCCTAACAATGGGGTTCGAAGGAGAAGGTTTGATAGTCCTGGTAGGGCTTCAAAGAGAATTTGACCATTTCTTAGAATGTTAAATTACACAAAAGTCTCTAGAAGAATAGCTCCTATTTCATTTTTGTCCGTAATCTTTAGTTTGTATCAATTGCATCCCGGACTTCATACATTAATTCAATGTAGTCCTTCCTAACTACTAGTACTATCTAAAAAACGTATGAAAAATGCTTGCGTCAATCTCACATATAAGATATTGAAAGGCATTAAAGACATTTTTACATGTTTATTTATGCATAATACTATCAATCATTGAACCCAATGCTATGTATTTGACTCTCGGTAATGGATTGAAAGGCTTGGATGTGCATTTCACATGTTGAGGCTCACTTAGGCAAGAAATGAAATAAAATTTTCACCACGCCCTTCAAATACATGATGACGTAATCATTTTTCATAAGGTTTTTAAATGATAGTTAGCGTAGGGACTACGTTGAATTAATGTGTGAAGTTCAAGGATACAATTGATACAAATTAATGATTTGGACCAAAATGGAATGGTTGCCATACTTTAGGGACCATTTGTGGAATTTACCCTTCTTAGAAAGAGCTGCAAAAAACTGAGTGCTACTACCTCTACTGATGGACTAGGTTGCATTTGCAAAATGAAGAAATTGAAATTTTGAATTCACAGGCATTTGAAAAATGAGGTGGCGACGAGTTATACTTTGTTCTTATCTAGAGTTCCCATTTAGCTCTGGTTATTCATATGCTCCAGTTTTTTAATAAGTAGTTTCTAAAGATTGAGTTAACTTAAAACATGATGTGGCTATTATAGAGATACCACATCTAAAGGCATGAAACTTTAATAGTCTCTTTCTTTTGTGATGATGTAAGATGTTACCTTTCTGGCATTTTGTTTTCAATATTACTTTGGAAAGGCCTTTTGATTTGTTGCACCACTAGAAGTTCTTACCACAAGTACTTCTTATGGTTTTATTTGTTTCATTTCGTGCAATTGAGCACTAGATTTTGGAGTTTCCTTGGATTCGTAGTAGTTTATTGAATGTTCTTTCCATTCATGCAGAATATTGCATCAATAATATAGCTTTTATTTTTGGCGTTCCAAGTTTCAGTAACTGATATAATGCTCCTCACTATTGAACTCCTCATGAACCGAATGACTTATTTTAGAATATGCTAGGATTATGGTTTAAATTCATTTACCACGGTTTTGAGGGAATTGGGGCTGGTTGGGCTTAACTTGAGATTATTTTCTTAAAGTTGTAATGTGTAGGCCCTTTTAAGATCAAAGTGGCAGTGTTTGAGGCATTTTCGAGGTGCATTTATTGCTTCTGTATTCATGTTAAGTTTGAGATGAAAAGATCTTCATAGCACAAGTAGGACTCTCTCTCTCTGATGGTTTTAAATAGCGAGCGGTATTGGGATATGTATTGGTATTAGTGATATGGTCAAATATTGGTCTGTATTGGATAGTAGTGGCCAGTGTATCTGTGAATAATGGTATCGGAGGTCTAAAATATCGATAGGAATCAGCTGATACGCAACAGCTGATATTTAAACCCTCCTGCTCTCTCTCCCTCTCTCTCTCTCTCTCTCTCTCTCTCGTGCACGCACGCACACACACAGCTGCTTGCTTGCACTCACACATTTGTGTTGTGGTGTTACCCTTCAAATGTTATTTGTATGACTTTGTTTGAATTTCAATGTGGATGGTTCTGAGATGGTTTAAGCAATGTAAGTGTGAAATGTTACTGAGGATGTGATTTTTTATTGTTTTCTTGATATTAATTAATGATGTTTACAGAGTGAACTGAATTTGTTTATGTTTTTTCCTTTTTTTATACCACTTGCAATATGAAACTGTATGATTTGGAAGCATGATATGTAATAATTTGTTCTTTTTAGAAATGACACGTCTTCATGAAATTAATTGTTTTTCCTCTTTTTTTTAAATTTTTTATTTTTTATAGTGTGACATGCATTCTTCGATGGGCCACATACAGAGAGAAGCCAACATGCCCTCAGTGTAAACATCCGTTTGAGTTCCTCAATGTCCATTGCTCATTGGATGGCAGGTATGGAAGTGATTCCCTCTTTTCAGTTTTTTCAGATTTCTGATGTGGAGAATCCACACCCAAGGTGGCAACCACATAGCATACTTTCTATAAGAAAGCCAAGGATTAGGGAAATGTGACATGGACTCTTCTATTTTCCCCAGTCTACCTGTGCCTACCGGATATGACAAGCATAAATTTGTGGAATATGTGTCCGACAATCGTATCTAATTTAGAGGCTTGTGCTCCAACTTTTTCAATATTTGAAGAATAAGAAACTCACATTTGCTAGAAAAACGACATCTATGAAGCACGGATACTCCGAAATAGGCCCCGTACGCGTATCGGATACGTATCGGATACGGATACGCGCCCGATACGGCGGGATACGTATCAGATACGGGAAACGAAGTATCCAATTTTTTTTTTTTTAATTTTTGAATTTTGGATACGTCTAGGATACGCGAGGATACGGTCAGGATACGGTCATGATACGGTATGGATACGACGGGGCAAAAAAATAATTTAAAAAACTTAAAATGGGGTCAAATTATAAAATCTGAAAATGAGATGAAACAAAACACAAAAAAAAGGAAAAATAATAATCAATCAAACCCTCTCTTACCTAGGTCGAGCAGCAGCTGCGAAGGAGGAGGAGAAGGAGTTTGTAGTCGTCTCGAACAGCAGCTCACCGATCGTCGACCAGGTTCGCGAACAGGAGCCCACGATCGTCGATCATCAGGTTCGTCCCTCTCTCTCTCCCTTTCGCTCCCTCTGTCTGCCTCACTCGATCTCACGAACTCTCTCTCTCTCTCCCTCTCCCTCTCACTGTCGCTCGATCTGTCTGTCTGGTTGGAGATCTCGATTTGATCTCATCTCCCCCCCTCCTGGTCGATTTTGATTTGTCTCTGTTTTGCATATGTATATATGTATATATATATATATTTTTAATTTTTTTGTATGTATACTGCAAATCAAATAAGATATTAAAAAAAAAAAATTATATGTATTCGGTTTTATCTGATAAAACAAATAAAAAAAATTAAAAAAAAAAAAATTATTTGTTTTATCTGATAAAACAAATAAATAAATAAACTTATTAATAAATAAATAAATAAAATAAGGTAAAAAAAAACTTATTAGTAAATAAATAAATAAATAAAATTATTAAAAATAAAATTTGTCAACTTATAAAATTATAAACTTTGTAAACTTATTAATAAATCAAATAAGGTAAAAAAAACTTATTAATAAATACATAAATAAACTTATTGATAAATAAATGAACTTTGTAAATTTTTTCCCCCTTAATTTGGGATTGAATTGCATTATAGTTGTTATGGGTGATGCTATATTGTTGAAATTGTTGAAATTTAATTAAATTGATGAATTTTTTGTTATGGGTGATGCATTATGGTTGTTATGGGTGATGCTACATTAATGTTTTGTTTTATTTGTTTACCATAAATTTTAGGAAATGAGTTACATTACTAAAAATTGTTTTGTTTTGTTTTAGGAAATGAGTTACATACAATTTGTTTTAGGAAATGAGTTACATACAATTTGTTTTAGGAAATGAGTTACATACAATTTGTTTTAGGAAATGAGTTACATACAATTTGTTTTAGGAAATGAGTTACATACAATTTGTTTTAGGAAATGAGTTACATACAATTTGTTTTAGGAAATGAGTTACATACAATTTGTTTTGTTTGATTTGTTTACCATAAAATTGTTGAAGTTTTATTTTATGTATGTTACATTACTAAAAAACTGTTGAAGTTTTATTTTTGTGTATGCTACATTACTAAAAATTGTGAAAATTTTTTTTTTTATGAACGTATCCCCGCCGTATCCGTATCCTACTTTTTTGAATTTTGTCGTATCGCCGTATCCGTATCGTATCGTACCCGTATCCCGTATCCGTATCCGTATCCGTGTCCGTGCTTCCTAGAGCGACATTTTTAACCTCTAACATAGATAAGAGATAAAGTTTCCATATTATTTCATAATTTTATTCAATTTCAAGTACATTTCTACATTAACAACATTTTATCTAAGAATATTATATAATATGTAAGATATATAAGTGTCCATTATATGTCCCCTTATCCATACCCTATTTTGGATACATATCCCAGTATCTTAAAGATTTAAGTTTATGAATGTATGACGCTATGACGCTTGGACATGCACTCGTACCCGATACTCGTATCTGAGTCTATGTAATGCGGGGGGAAAAGAGATGGACTCTACTTTGTTGTGGAAAACCAGGAAACAAAGATTTAAGCTACCATGGCTCTGATATCAAATTAGCAACCTCTAATTATTAAAAGCAAGCATAATAACTAACTTTAAGTACAAACATATCTTACTTTATATCACACCATACTTGCAAGCATCTTACATCACACCACTCGTACATACGTCACACTTTTTAAGTACATACACTACTCACATGGCACATACGTTTATGCTGTGTTTGGTTGAGGGATTTGAGAAGAGATTTGGAACAGGAAAGGAAAAAGGTGTGTGAAACTAGGTGAAATGTAGGTATATTTTATTCATATTTCACTTACTTTTTCCATTTTCCTTTCCCTTTCCATTTCTAAATCCCTTAACCAAACACAGCGTTAAGGACATACGTCACAGCACACTTCTGTATGTTTTGGGACAGTCATGTTTAGTCATGTGAAATGATCTTATGAGTGTGACCTGACCGACATAAGATGTTTGGGATAATTGTTGCCAGCTGCGGTGCTGTAAATTCATCGGGAAATTATTGTTGAGAAATCGGTTAAGCAACAGCATCTTACTTGAATCATGTGTGAGTATTGATCATGGTAAAAACCCGAGAGTGTAGCCCAATTAATGCAAGTTTATAATTCATATGTAAACGGATTGCAAGTTGTAAACGTTAGATATAGTCAAGTGTAAGATCTGAGTTTGAATTCAATAGAGGTAACAAAAAAGTTCCAATAAAATTTGTACCTCAAATTGTGAGTTTTCTTTAAAGAGCTGTGAGTAAACTCTCTTTGCTAAAAATGTTCATAATCTACTTCAACAGCATCCATGATTATATGCATGAGGAGAGTGTGTGCTTGCTTCTTAGAGCCTCATGGTTTAAGCCCTTGATTGTGGAGGAACAGGAAGAGGTGGATGATGAAGTGGATTATTATTATCAATATGAGGACGATGAAGATGATGATTTGGATGAAGTTTACTTGAGCCATTCATCAAGTCTTCGCATTGGCAACCGGAGATGGGGGGATAATGGATATGTCAGGGCAGGAAGACAGGAAGCAAGGCCAGTCCCAGTCTATCAACCCAACACACAAAATTCAAGTGCTGGTCCATCGCGTGTGCCTAAGAAGAAAGAAACAGTTGTGAAAGATCCGGTTGGGCGAAGGGCGAAGAGGGCACTGAAGCGTGAAGCTGCTGACAAGGCAGCTGCTGCAAAACATGAGCAGCACTTGGTGAGGTTGGGTCGGAAGTGAAATTCCATGTTAGTCCTTGAAAGCCAGACCCGGACTTCACTTTCCTCTGTACATTATTTACTTGCTTCTGTGTTTGTTGTATAATAATGATGTGGTAGTTCGTTGGAATCTTGGTTGTAAAATGGTCTGAATCGCCGCCCAACTGTATCTCTCAAGATTTACCTATTTGATTATTGAACTGTGTTCAAAATCACAATTCTTTGTAATTTCTTAGTGTTGTACATTTTTATTTCTTGTAGTGTTGTATGTATTGATCAATGTTGGAAACTCGATTTATGTGCACATATCCCATACATGACATTTAGAAAATATATATAATTAAAAATGGTAGGAATAAAGGCTCTGTGTGATTGGGGGTTTGGGAAGGAAGATCGAATTAGCAATTCATAGGTCTCACTTATATCATGTTTTCTTATAGGGAAATGGTATGGAATTGCTAATTTCATGAGACTATCAATTCTTTCTCATGGTGGGATTAGTATTCTTGTGAGAGGAGTGGGATTACTAGTCCACTCTAATGGATTGATGGTTAAAAGATCATTTTGCTCCTCATTTAAAAAAAATCAATAAAGTTATCTTTTACGTGGTAAGAGTTTTTACGTAATTTGTAGATTTAATCCAAACTAACTAATACCACCATACTTGTGCACAAACGAACACACTTTACCTTACATTTCTAAACTAATATTATCACATTAATAATCTCCTTATTCAATTTCACTATACTTCTAATCTAATGCAACTTAGCCCTGGTTTGGCAAATCATTTGGGCTAAATAATCACAAAAAAAAAAAAAAAGCTATAAAATCACAAAAAGACAAAAAAGTTACAAAATTACCAAATTTGACCCATATACAAATAAAAAGTAAAAAAAGCATCATTTCTAAGTGGAGGACAATTTTGTCATTCCAATGCCAAAAAGTCAAAAAAACCAAATAAGAAAACTAAACAAGCAAAAAAGTCTCAGACTAAAAAAGTCAACTAAAAAAGTCATTGCCAAACGACCTTTTAATTTGCCAAATAAATGAGGCCAAAGAAAAATTTTGATGAAACAGTGAGAAGAATGAGGCACTTGACTCATAGGCTAATTTTATTAATGACGTATCAATGGAAAAATAATATTATAATTTTGATTAAGATTGTATTTGGTTTATGAATTTGTGAAAGAATTTGAAAAGAGAAAAGAAAAATATGTGTGAAATATAATTATATTTCATTCATATTTTATCTATCTTTAATTTTTATTTAAAAATATTTATCCAAATTTATAAACCAAATATAACATAAAAATATAAGAATACATAAACATCTAAACTAATTTAAAATTTTATGACTCAAATTTTGTAGCTCACAAAACTACAGTGTAATACAAATTAGTGGTGGCTGCAGCAAAAAGATTGACTTTGTTTTTTTGGTTTTGGTTTTGTTTTTATTTTTATTTTTATTTTTATTTTTGTTTCTATTTATGAGGACATAAGATTGACTTTGTCATTTTAAAATTCGGTGGCCAACATTTTGGAAGATGGCAAGTCCAAGTACTCAATTGACCCACTCTGAAAAAACGAAAAAGTACTCAATTGATTTAACGGTATTAGATTTTTGTATTGATGACTTCTAGGTTCCTAACCAATCCAACAAGAATTGTCCTCGTGGTTTATTAAAGAAAATGATTCCCAATATTATTTTGTAATATTTAAAATTTTTATTCTATTTTTAATAATAGAAGAGATTTACAATGTCATTTTATAATATCTATAATTTTTCAAAAGGTTCCTCAAAAGATCCCTCAACGCAACACTCATATATTACAGAAAAATTTGACATACCAGAGAGCTCTTTTGTGTAGTATATAAAGAGCAAACTCAATCTGCATCTTATACCTCACAATAATTCGTAAAACAAAGAAAGAGAAAGAGATTGAGAGATGGCCAAAGTCAGAGATCGACAACCTTGCTCGATATGCCATTGATGAACACAACAAGAATTCAAACTGTGGGGATATATTTTCTAAAGTATCAACATGTGGCTAAGGTGACACCGATGTGTCAGCCGAGGTGCCACGTGTCCAGGTCATGACGTCGAGATTATCTCGTCAAGGCTAAGGTTATCTCCAAAGATATCAGAATCTGAGATAAGCAGATAAGGGACAAGAGTCCTAGAATGATAAAAGACTTTAGCATGGATAAGGATAACACTCTTAGTGAGTTTATCTTTATTTCTTAGAGAGTCCAAGATAAGCACTGAGTAAGAGTCCATTGAAGCTAGGCTTCTAGTGGGACAAGGATTGAGTTAACTATAAAAGAGAGGCACCCCCATGGGTCTAAGGTACGCAATTTATATTCTGAACAGTGAGATTAGCACTATTGATTATCTTTGAGAGATATACTGACTTGATCGTCGGAGTGCCCCCGGGTGGACGAACCACTGCCGGAATCTTCTCTTTCTGTTGCAGGTAAGCCAGGTGTCATCTATTCTACCAGTGCTCTCCAACTGATTACTGAGTTGGGTAGTGTGATCGGAAAATCACTCACATAATTTGGCGCCGTCTGTGGGAACGAAAGGAGAATAGATGGCCAGTGACGGACAGAAGGAAAAGATTGGGGACGACACTCTTGCTGGGAGTGGCAGACCCATCGACCTTGACGTCGAAGGAGACAACCGCAACACAGAAACTCGTAACCAGAATCACAGTAAGAAAGACGTTGGCCAGGATGGCGACGTATCAAAAAAGCCAGATCGAAGTGGGTACTACAATGAGGATGACCTCCAGGTATGGAAAGATAGATGCCTGTGAAGGGACGAAGAGGTAAAGGAGATGGCAAACAAATTGGCAGACCTACAATCGGTCGTCAATTTCATGATGCAAAACAATGTCATGCAGCCACCATACTCGCTGCAGGACACGCCGATTCCAACGGCCAATGCCCAGAAGGGAGGGCAAAAGACAATCCCAATAGCCCCTTAGCACACCAGAAATGAAAAACACTCTCACCGGCCTTCTAGGGAGGTCGGGCGAGGAGAGTCGAGGAGAGAAGAGTCGCTGAGGACGCACCGCGCCAAAGAGGCAGACCCCAAAGAACATCCGCATATTCAGGGGCAAGCACTCTGCTTTGACACAACTCACGGAGAAAGATTGAAAAGGACCCACCATGAAGCTGAGAGTAGTATGCCGAAAAGACTGAAGTCAGGAGACAGCCGAGCTCCTGGACAGAGCAAAGAAGACTTGAGAGATTATCTCAAAAGGAAGCATCAGAATGCCAATGCCGAGGTAACTTCCCCTGAAAAGCCGAGAACACCATTCTCGGTAGAGTTAGACAAATTTGAGGCTCTGAAAAGACTCAGTATGCCAAGGTTCCAAATATACGATGGTAAGTCGGACCCCAACTTTCATGTTGGATTATACCTGAATTCAATGGCGTTGTATAGTGGGAACGAGCCATTGCTCTGCAAAGTATTCCCCTCATCTTTTGGGGAGATTGCATCAGATTGGTTCCACAAATTACCAAAGGGAAGTGTGAAGACTTGGGAAGGCCTGGCCGACATGTTTGTGGCTAGGTTCGTGACAAACAAGTTGCAGCCATTAAGGGTGGACGCGTTAATGGCTCTGAAGATCAGTAAGGAAGAAGGCCTTAGGGCCTATGCAAAAAGGTACTATGAGGTGTTCAACCGAATACCAGAGTGTAATCAAGAGGTGGCGGTCGTATCTTTCAAGAACGGCCTAAAAGACAACTGTCCACTACGAAAATCTTTGGCAAAGACATTGCCAAAAAGCATGGAAGAGCTCATGGCGAGGATCGAGAAATACGCCAGAGCCGAAGAAGATACATCGGGGACCAAGGAGGCAAAGCAAGAAAAGGGAAATGGCTCGCCGAAGCGAGGCCGAGGTAACAACGGATTTAGCAAGCAAGAAATGGAACTGAGGGCAACACAGGCAGTGACAACTGTGTTCCGAATCCCAATTCACAAAGTCCTAGATCAAATTCGGAATCAACCCTATTTCAGAACACCAGCAAAGGCACCAGGAGAATTCATGGGGAGAAACCTTGGCAGACATTGCGCTTACCACAATGAAAACGGGCATATGACTCAAGGCTGCAGAGCCCTGAAAACACACTTGGAAGACCTGGTGAGACAAGGCCATCTGAGAGACCTTGTCGATGAGGCCAGAACAAGGGAAGGACATGTAAGATTGCCTCAGGCGACAGCAGCTCCACCTCCCCCAGCACAACAACCACAAGCAGGAAGACCTCGGGTAATTAATGTAATTCACTCGAAGGTCAACGAAAACGAGATTCGGGGGGAGACCTAGAAGGTAAAACATCTGCAGCATGTCTACCAAGTCGGGGAGAAGAGACATCAGGCAGGGGAGTACCAAGGATCAGTAGTGTCCTTTTCTGAAGCCGACCTTGAGATGGTGCAACATCCGTATAATGATGCCTTGGTAGTATCCCTCAAGGTTGGGGAATGCCAAGTAAAGCGCATCCTGATTGACCAAGGCAGCTCTTGTGACATCATGTACGTCCGATGTTACAAGGAGCTTGGCCTTCACCCAGACGATATGGAGCAGTCCAATAGCCCAATGGTCGGGTTCAATAGAACGCCGACATGGCCACTGGGAACAACCAGCTTGGAGGTGCAGGCAGGCACCAGGAAGATAACAACAGAGTTCACCGTAATTGACACACCCTCCCCTTACAACATCATTTTGGGAAGGCCATGGTTGCATGCAATGAGGGCTGTTCCCTCAACTCTGCATCAACTATTGCGGTTTCCAACAGAGTACGGAATTGAGGAGGTCAGAGGAGATCAGCTGCAGGCAAAGAATTGCTCCATGGCAGTAATGAAATCTACCTACAACATTCAAAAACCAGAGAATGCAGAGATTGAAGATGAGGATGTGGAGGTCCTAGAGGATGTCGGCAAGGAGCCGACCGAAAAGAGTGAAGAAACACTGAAGAAAATCCTCGTCCAAGAGGGGGATGAAGAACGCTTCTTTCTTCTCGGCTCGGGCCTAGCCAAAGAAGAAGAAAGAGAGATGGAAGCTTTCTTGAGAGCAAATCTTGAGGTGTTTGCTTCGACGCCTTACGAGATGCCTGGCATTGACTTTGAGGTCACTTGCCATAAACTGAATGTTGATAGGTTGGCAAAATCGGTAGTCCAACGAGCAAGAAGACCGACATTGATACACATCGAAGTAGTAGAGGAGGAAGTAGATAGACTTCTCGAGGCTAGGGCTATTCGAGAAGTAAATTACTCGACATGGCTATCA